TGGCAGTGGGAAGAGATGTCAAAAGGAAGGGTTTTGCGTTACCTTCTCCCAATTAATTCCAATTCGAACGTTTTCCGAGTATATTCAGGGCTTGTTAGTGTAGCAAACTGATACAAATTTAGTGGTCAAAGCACATTGGAGATGAATAAGAACGATAATAAAATTTAGTTGTAATGCATTAAGTCAGATTTGCGAAGCAATATATCATAGCCAAAGTTCAGTTAGCATGAAGTATAAATAAGCCCATTCAGAGGTATCCAAACACCACCACGTCGTCTGACTTTGGAGGTCCAATAAGGATGTCAATTTTGCGTAGAACCTGCAGAAAATTTTACCTCACTGCCGCGTCAAGGTGAATATTTAATAAGTGAAAAATTTTGGAATAACCAAATTTTTGATGATATTGTTCCTCATTTATTGCCACAAGCGGAAATGAAAGGGATTTCCAGTTATTTAACCACCGTGATCCAGGAAATTAGACAATTCGCCCACTGAAAATAAAGTTCAATTACATAATACTATGCACCTATCTCCAATTAAATGATTTATTCAACAAATCCTATTTCTCTATTCTAATAGCACCAATAGACATTTTTCCCGTTGAAAACATCAATATGCTCCAATTTTAATCGACTAGAAGGAGTTTAGGTGACTTGGAAATGTTAATGCGAAGATGGACATAGATCTACAAGGAACGGTAGATACATTATTTAAGTGCTTGTACTTACAAATAAATAAAAGGTTAGAGACCTCAAATGAGTGAAGACAATCACATGGTTGAGTGAGAATTGTAGGCAAGATGACAGCAAATCAAATGATCAAGTTCGTTATTTCGTTTGACCTGAGTGACGAGAGACTACTTCTAGTGCAGTATCACCCTCTCTCTCTCTCTCTCTCTCTCTGTCTCTCTTTGTAATCGATGGATTATTTTTTTGTTCAATTTCGAGACACCTGGTAAGGAGAGATGACTCTCTTAAATGCATGGAATAAAGCAGTATCTCGACTTGGGTATTACATAATCTTTCGGCTTAATGCATTTCAATGGAACAATATTTTTTTGAAAAATAACATAAAAATGGAAGTATGATATCAATATTAGCAACAATGGTACACCGAAATCTAGTGATTACTGCTCCCATCTAATTGCCCGCAATGATAGAAAACGCCCAGTAACTGCAAGAAGGAAAACGATATCAGCAAGAAGTAACCTTATGTCAGGGGACAAATTGATTTTTTTACAGCCGCCACCAACATCCAGAAACAAAGCGTGAAAGTCTTTGCCAGACTTTGATAATCTTAGCTTATCTCTCGAGAGTCAATTCAAATCAACACATTATGGTCGAATTTCTACAGGTTGATCTTAAAGCGTAATATTTTCAAGGTTATCATTCGGCCAATCGAATGAATGCATTTCGTAATAAATGATTTAGCCAAACGTATTGTGAGACACGTCATAGCATGCGCGTACACATAGGCTTGAGATGCGACCGTACAACTTCGCGTACGGATTGAGGACGAGAGCACGCAGCCAATAGCAGCTCAAGGGCCCTCACTTGTTTTACCAAATCCGCCATGTGGTATGACTGAGTTTCCTTCCTGTATACACTTCTTGCGTGGTTTATCTACTGAATAAACGTGCTCCGTGCTAAACGTCTGTTTCCTTCATAGCTGGCCTATAGCTTAGCTGGTTCTGGGAGTCTAGCTAGATGTTGGGGAATTTGCCATAGAGATTTCTGAGTCAGTCAGGCTTTACTAAATAACATAAAGTCTGTCATTTAAAAAACTTAAACAAAAATAGCATTGTTGGAGCTCCTATAGAATTACAGTTCTAAATTGCAATCTGTATATATTTACTTTCCCACAGGACTATTACACCGATATTTTGCCACAGCTGCTTTCGGTCAAAGGTCACCAATATGTATTAAGCTGAAAAAAATTAACTTTCATTTATTAGCCTTAAGCCTATTTAAATTCATTGCATGTATTTAAAACTGGCTTAGATTTTAATTGAAACGTCACTAACTTGATCATTAATAATTAACGATCTTAGAAACCAACTTATTGAAGATCAATATTACGAAATCGGTGAACTAAGTTCAAACTACTCATCGTGTTTTTTCTTGAAAAAACATACCATAAGGCTCAGGAATAGTCTACTTCCAATTTAAAATATGATAAAATTTTAATTTAGATATGGGAAAGGATTAAAAGGATGGTCCTTTATAATCCTTTAAATTTACAGAAGTGAATTGCAAAGAACACTGGGAAAGTGTTACAGATTTATTGTTTAGTCTTCGATGTGTGAGCACATCATTACGTCCACCAATAACAGTCATATTAATGTAAACCAGGAAACGATGATATAAAAGCGCTTGAAATATTCAACTCCTTTGCCACAAAGGACTCTTGAAGAGACAGTGAACGGAAAAAAATTTTACGTTCGTTTATGTGTACTTCGTTGACGACAGGATTCATTCCCCTATTCAATACAAAATAACAAAGGAGTGAAAATTTATGATGACTCATATATTGGTCGTTAATTCGCATCTCACGAGCTCAATAAGAACATAACAGCAGATGCCTACAAACGGCAATGCCTGTAAAATAAAAAAAGAAGAGGAGGAATAACGAAACAATATCGTAATAAAAAAACAGACTAAAAAACAGTATGCCTCAACTACTGAACCCAACAATCAGCCACAATAATATTATATTAGGTGGTCCTAAAGAGGGCCGTGGTATCGTGTTTAACTGGTGGTTTCCAACCACTCTTTATCATGACCCAAGGAATAGTTTAAGACCTCTCACCGCGAATGCGGCGAGCAAGCTGCATGTCCTTGGCCATGATAGTGACTCGCTTCGCGTGAATGGCACATAGGTTGGTGTCTTCGAATAGACCAATCATATAGGCTTCAGCTGCCTCTTGTATAGCGTCGACAGCAGTGGCCTGGAAACGCAAGTCATTCTGATACTCTTGAGCAATCTCACGCACAAGACGTTGAAAAGGGACCTTTCGGATAAGAAGCTCAGTACTCTTCTGATAACGCCGAATTTCCCGAAGAGCGACAGTTCCAGGCCTGAAGCGATATGGCTTTTTCACACCACCTTTTGATGGGGCGCTCATACGAGCGGCCTTCATAGCCAGCAGCTTTCGAGGTGCCTTGGCCCCTATGCTTTTACGAGCAGTCTGCTTAGTTCGAGCCATCACTGCTGAAACGATAACCAACACTCCTTTGACAAGTATTTCCCCTCCTTTTATCCCTAAGCAACTGAGGTCATGCATTGACTTTATAATTTATAATTGGTTATTGCTAGTTTTTAAGTAACTTATTGGCTGAGAGAATTCATGTTCTTGCATGCCTGTATGTATACTCGTGACAGCAATCTCACCAATCATATGCGTTTATCTCACATTAATTTGATTTATATTTTCAAGAATATTTAACTCATCTATCCCTACTGTTTACTACATTTTCACTTTATGATGAATATCACTACGATTATACTCTCTTTTCCACGAAGTTTAAATATGTCTCTAACTGTGGGACACGTTATCGAGCGTTGTGCGTCATCGTATGCCTGCATGTCTGCTCGCCAGGATTGGGAGGTGCGGCCGTACAACTCTGTGTGCACCGACCGTACAAACAGTGTCGAGTGAAATAGTTATGAAGCAGGGTGGCTATTTTCTTTGTTTTCGTTTCTCTTACTTAAATGCCTCATAACTTCGATCACATGGCTAACCAACTTCCTGTTTAAAATAACATTTAAATTTGAAGTTTTCCTCTTGGAGATTTTATATACCTATTTGAAATATTGTTCGTAAAGTTCGCCAAAAAGGACAGGGTTCGTTTAAAAATGGTAATAAATTTACATATACATTTCAACTGGGGAAATATTATTATTTGCAATTCTTTAATTTACTATTTTTTAACGAAATCCACTAAAATCTTATCAAGTTGTACTGATTTCATTACGTTTCGCACTTTCTACCTTTTAAATTTATTTACCAATTTAGGTAAATAAATAAATATAGCACTTCGTACTAATTTTATTCTGCTAATTGTTTGAAATTTCAGCTAACCACTTCCAGGGCGCCCACCTGTTCATACCTACAAACAATAAAAACATTTTGTTGACAACTCTAACTTTGTAATATCCCCAAGTAAAGCTGGGAAGGGTAGCAGCTTAGGAATTTCTGTTTCCATATTTTCGTGAACTAAACATAAAGGTCATACGGGTTCCATGTAAGGATAGATGAACCTATGTGCTTAAAACAGTAAATATTTTATGGACCATAATGATCGGTTACAACGATCGATTTGTAATACAAATTGCACAACTTGTTAAAGCTTCAATGGTTTAAAAGTGATATTGAATTTTACTTCTCAGATAAAAGGGTGTGCGATAGACTTACCTCCACATGGTGCCCCTGGGCAATGTATACTCATACGGCAAAAAGTCTATTAACCGGACATTGACTTCTCACATAAAATTACCTTCAACCCACTGTATGTCATATTCGACCACTTCCGCGGTACTCATCTTACCTTTTCTCTGCCTTTGTGTCTGTCTCTTTTACATCTTTAAAACACTCTTCTATTCCCCTCTCTCGACTTTTTTCACTTTGATGTTCCACCCCCTCTGTTAAGGCTCAAGTGATTACGTATTGTGATATTTACGTCTTTACTGTCAATGGCCAATAAGACCTTGGAAAGGAAACGCATTTACGTGATCACAAGATATTACATTGTAAAGTAAACTGGTATGTGGAATAATTGTGAAAATCCGAGATTAAGGTAAGGCCAGATAACCGATGTCCAGAATTCAAAGGTCCGTTGATCACAATGTCATTTTGAAAATTCAGTGATCGGTAGTAGGCATTGGTGTGGCCAATAGCATTGCTTGAACTGTCCATGATGTTGTCATGCCACTTAAATTTGTCAAGAAAGCAATCAAAATTCACATTGAGATTGCAACACTTAAGGAACTCGAGTGAATCCAATAAGACTGATCCTGAAAAAGTAAAGTTCCCCTCTGCCTTCACCTTATAATGGAAGGAGAAAAAGGTCTGGTGTTTGATATATGTCACTCCTGAGAGAGAGAGAGAGATATTTGGAAACTGCAATATATCTAAGAATATGCTTCGCCATGTTCAAATCAATTTTCAAATACGAATATTAAGAGACAGGTTTCGATGACTAACAGGACTTCTTTTGCAAATTTCCAACTTGTGCTCAATTAAAGAGTGCATCTTTATTGCCATCTGATTTCCAATGAGCTACTCAATTCAATTGCCAAAAGATGGTTTCAAATTTAGCTCCACATTTTGCTTAACAGAAAGTTGTTAGTATAGAAAAGTGAATCGTTTTCTCTCCTTGGTAGTGTTTCGTCACTGAGTTCTGTTGGAGATCCTTATGATTGGTTTGTTCTTCAGTTGATTGCCCACGAATACATGCATCTGGATTGAATGTCAACACCTATGCCACGATTTCAAAGAGATGCATAATATATCAAACCATTCTCAATCAACTTTTCACTATCAAGCGTTTTAAGGTTTCATTCAAAATAAAGGAAGTTGCAGAAAAAGCGTATGACAATGTCTTTGTTTGAATTTTGGAAATCATCTCTGGAAGCCTCAGCTTTCTTTCGAGCAATTCCATTTCGATTCATAGCTTCAGTTAGTTAGGAACACATTTCAGTGTTGTCATTTTTATGAATGAATATGGCCTGGAGCTTATAACTTATGGCCAAGTGTTGGGAAGAGTAAGCGGAGTAGAGTAGAGTGGAGTATTGACGTTCAAAGAGAAGTACTTCTATACTCATGTTCTTATTGGTTGACTACTCCCATTAGAAAACCAAATATCCTCCATTCTTATTGGTTAGAGACATATTTTTAATACATCAAAACTGAATGGTCCATTTTAAGAGATCATTGGCTAAGTAAAAAGAGAATAGAAAATAATATGTGGTGAAGAGAGGAGAAGTTGCAAGTTAATAATTGAATCAGTAGATTTACTCAAGTGACCTGAGTTGTGCAAACTCAATGAGAATGCGTTATTGTTTATTCAATAACTTTAAGTCAACGGATTCAGAGTTGATACTCACGAATCCATTGAGCACTATCGTACTTCGAGAAGACAACAGAGTTGGCGCAGTGATGTTCTCATTCCTGGTTTATGCAATTGAGTACTTTTGTCTAGGCCTCTGGTCGTGAATTTTGCTTTCTATGACAACTTTGTCCTTAAAAGTGCCTCATTTTAAGACCAGTCTTTTGGAGAGGAGATATTTTGAAAGAATTATAAAGTTCTAGAAAGTTGGATCATTTTGCCTACTATGAATTCATATGTATCGATTTATAAAACCTTGGCTCTTCTAACCAAATTTTTGGAAATATTTTTAAACATTTCAGTGGAACCTGTTTTAATAAATTTGTACCGAAATAACAGTACTTTCAAGGATGATGGAAGCTGACCTTTCTTAATGAGTATATAGTAGCAATGTCGTATGTGGTGGAACAATTCTACCACCCCGACAATGATTTCAAAGTGTTTAAATCGATGAAGCCGTAAGTTTGAACCAGTATTATCCAATACAATTGGGCAAGTAATCATCTCTTTTATCATAAAATACTGATGGAAGCTATATTTATTGAGATATTACGCTTTTTCGGATTGTAAACAACTCACAAAGGTACATTCTAGTAAAAATAATTCATTCATTTTTATTCACAACGTTAATCCCAAAACTAGATCAGTAACCCCTTGGCATTAATCAGTCCGTCATGGCAACCTACTCACTAAACTATTAGGTTGGCAACTAAGTCCTTGCCGATTTCAAATAAGAAGGCAAATTCGGAATTTGTCTTTAAAAATATGACTTTATTCAATTAGATATTGGCCGTTCTTGTCAATGACCTTTTTCCATCGTTCTGGCAGAGTAAAAATTCCCCGTTCGTAAAATATCTGGTCTTTGCTATTAAAAAACTGAATTAGGTGTGATCCGACATCATCCGCGTTGTTAAAAATTTTACCATTTAAAGAGTTTTGCATGGAACGAAACAAATGGTAATCCGAAGGCGCACGGTCAGGGCTATATGGTGGGTGTGACAAAACATCCCAACCCAGTTCCAATAATTTTTGCAGAGTAACCAAAGATGTTTGGGGCCTTGCGTTATCATGATGGAAAACAACACCCTTCCGATTTGATAATGCCGGCCGCTTATCTTCAATTGCATCCTTCAGTTTTTCGAGTTCTTCAACATACACATTTGAATTTATCGTTTGGTTCTGCGGCATGAGTTCAAAATACAAAATTCCTTTGTGATCCCCCCACCAGACTGACAGCATAATCTTTTTTTGGTGAATCTCTGCTTTTCATACTGTTTGGGCTGGTTGATCTTGCTTCACCCATGATCTCTTGCAAGTAACATTGTTATAAACTATCCACTTTTCGTCGCCAGTAACTAGGTTCTTCAGAAATGGATCATTCTCATTGCGTTTCAGTAGCGGCGAATCACAGATGCTAATCCGTTGCGTCAAATGAATTTCCTTTAACTGGTGAGGGATCCATGAATCAAGTTTCTTGACATAACCAAGGGTTTTTAATTTTTTTTCAATGCATGTATGTGACACATTGAGCTTCTCTGCAATATCTCGTGTTGTGCTGTGACGATTTGAATCGGTAATGGCCTTGATATGGGTTTCATCCACTTCGACTGGGCGGCCAGATCGTTGTGAATTTTTCAGTGAAAAATTACCGGAACGAAGTCTTTCAAACCAATTTCGACACTGCCTTTCTTTTAAGGCTTCATCTCCATATACGGCACATAACTTCTTTTGTGCTTGTGCTGCGTTCTTGCCTTTTCGGAAGTAATACAATAAAATGTGTTGGAAGTGCACGTCCTGTTCTTTCATTTTTAAATTGGGATAAAAACAAAACTAAAGAACTAAACAAAAAAAATTTTTTACTAATTAACCTAGAAGCCCATACAGTAAGAAAAAAATATAGGTTAGATGCTCTGGCCACGTTAACAAAACAAAAGAAAGTATAGAGTGAAACCGTCAACAAAAACGGCAATGACTTAGTTGCCCACCCAATAGAAATATTTATTTATATCAAATGGCAGGCTTTATGAAAGCTATCATTAACCCTTTAGTTGGCTTCGGGCTTCACAGAGGGGAGGAACATCAAAGTGGGAAAAGTCGAGAGAGGGAATAGAAGAATGATTCATGAATGTAACAAAGACAGACGCAAAGGTAGAGCAAAGTTAAGATGATTACTGCGCAAGGGGTTGAATATAACATACATTCGGGCCACGGTAGTTTGAAGTCAGAAGTCAACTGCCAGTTAATAGACATTTTTGCCGTATGAGTATACGTTGCCTAGGGTGCACCACGTGGAGGTAAGTCTATATAGAATTATTAAGATTTGCACTCTTTTATCTCGTCAAGAAAATCAAAATCCAATTAAATAGATTTGGATTTGAATGGAAGTAACTTGTCCACTAGTTGTTTTACGGAGATGCATGTAATTTAGTTATGCATGCAAAATGTGCACAATTTACATTTTACTTCACTTAAAAGCACCCTCTCTATCAGTTGGCAAACAGAATTTTGGATCATTCAACATCCGGATTTTACAAATGACACTTTTCAGGTTGAAATGTTCACTTTTAATCATGAATTAATAATTTGCACAACGAACAGATCTCGTTCTCCACTTTCAAACCGATGAGCTTTATTAAGTAAACAGTTGCTCTTATCTAAAGATTCTAAATTATAATTTTTTGGAAAAAAGTCTTTTCAAATTTTAATATTTTCCGACGTTTCAGTGTGTCATGTTAGCGACTTCTAGAATTCGATATAACATTGTGTGGTGAACGTCATTTGTGAAATTTGGTGTTGATACATCGATATTGAAAATCGTCAGAAAAGGAAATTGCTCTCGTTCCTGAGGAAAATAAAGAAATAAATAATTTTTACTTCATTCAATATGAAACTTCACCACGCGTGAATGCACATTTGGGTGTTGAAATTTGGAATTGTAATAATGGATGCATTTTAATAAAAATCACATTGAGAATTCGAATCTGGCATAAGGGTCTTACTTTTCATCGATTGAATTTGATTGGTCTTAGAACTTTATGCCCACCTATCTTTGTTTGAGGTTTTATTTTCTACATTTTTGTCTTTTAATGCTTGGCTCTAAACTTTATGACCATGAATGATTTTCTTTCGAAAAATTAGAACAGGCAACATGTAGTATAGCAACCTTTAACCACAAATCGGAGAGTAAAGCCATTGAGCATTTTACTAGTCTTGGGCCTGCAATATATATATATATATATATATATATATATATATAACTTTTTTGCATTCCACTAGCCTAAAATTTCACTTTTAGCTGAACCTAGCCTAAATTTTTAACCATAACACAGACAAGCATGAACATAAATTATAGTAGCCAATGATTTGCAGCCAGATTCCCAGTGACCAATTGACTTTTGAATGCGCATGAGTGGCCTTCCATATAGAAATATAAATATGGTGGAGCTACTCTCCAAAGGCCCCTTGGTTATCACCACCTCAGTGGAAATGGCTCGCACTAAGCAGACTGCTCGTAAAAGCACAGGAGGCAAGGCTCCCCGTAAACACTTAGCCACTAAAGCCGCTCGGAAGAGCGTCTCGGAAACTGGTGGTGTTAAAAGGCCACACCGATACAGACCCGGAACTGTCGCTCTTCGAGAAATTCGGCGTTATCAGAAGAGTACTGAGCTCCTTATCCGAAAGGTCCCTTTTCAACGTCTTGTGCGTGAGATTGCCCAAGAGTACAGGAATGACTTGCGTTTCCAATCAGCCGCGATAGGGGCTCTACAGGAGGCTGCCGAAGCCTATCTGACTGGTTTGTTCGAAGACACCAACCTATGCGCCATTCACGCGAAGCGAGTCACTATCATGCCCAAGGACATTCAGCTTGCTCGCCGCATTCGCGGTGAGAGGTCTTAAACTGATCCTTGGATCATGACATAGAGTGGTTAGAAACCACTAGTTTAACACGATACCACGGCCCTCTTTAGGGCCACACCACATTTTTTGTTTTTAAGTAGTTTATTTCGAGCTAGCCCCATGGAACATGGTGTTGAATTAATGGTCTCATATTCTCCGTAGCATTTTTTTCAAGTTTTAAATCAACTTTCTTAATCGTCATTCCAACAAATTATAAAGGTCCTTTCACTTTATACGATAATTTTCTTTATATTTTTCATTCTACTTGCAAAATTTATAGAGGGTAAATTTTGGTGATGAGTCCCTACGCTTTTCCCTTTTCCAGCTCATAGAAAAAGTTTTCGCACTAATGAAGCGAAAATTATTTAAATCCTTTATTTTCCTCAGGAACGAGAGCAATTTCCTTTTCTGA